CATGGGTGATAACTCCGGCGCCGCAGCTGTCTCCTGTGCGCACATCTCGACCCTTCCTTGGTCCCGCCGAGCCTTTTTCCTCCTTAGGGAGCACGGCCCGCTTGCAGGGCGGGTGTGGATCCCTGGTGACAGCACTCCAAGGGCTTTCCCTCTGCTTTACCTTGATTTTACCTTTGTTGAGGGTAGAACATGCCCGGCATCGTGAGGGCGAGCAGCCTGGGCTGGGGTGGGAGCCTGGGCATCCCCGGCCGCTTGCCCAGCCTGGATCTCTGCTGGGGCTGCGGGGAGAGCCGGGACCGCTGACAGGGGAGCTGCTGCCACTCGTGGGACAGCGAGCGATCCCACCAGCGTGAGGTTACCGTGCACTTTTTTAAGATAAAAATACCAGTAATTATTACTCAGACCAGCTTAACTTTGAGGAATACCTGTGCTCCTTCCTCATACCTTCTGTGTATTGATGTATTGTCAAAAATAAACTAAGCCACAGACTCCTATACAAGAGAATTTCCTTGAGCAGCTGACCTTGGTTGGCACCAGTGAGATCACCGTGATGCAGACACATCAGTATGCAAACCTGATTTATGGTTGTTACAGCTGAAGGTGTATTTTTACTCTGAAGCATAAGTTTTGGGTCTTGAAGAGAGATGCTGGTGTGGCTTTGTTTTAGACTGAAGGCTCAGCTGGTTCCCTTTGGAGGCACCAATGGGGATCGTAAACATTTGCTGCTTCATTTGGTTTATTGTGGGATCTTTTCGTCTGTGAGGCTGTTTCCACACTTTCCTTGGTGGGCAGCAGTCCTGGTCTAGGTTACAAGGGGGTGATGTTATGGGGTTTCTCTAATAAACTCCATTAGTGTGTGCTTTTTCCCTGGTGCTCAGTTTTGTCTCCAGAGCAGTGAACGTCCAGTGAGAAATTTGTAAGGTGCAAAATGCTGTTTAATCCTGAATGATGATGGATTTCTGCCTCCTGTCCTCTCCAGGATGCACCAGCAGAGCATTACCCACTGGTAACGCTGTCCTGGAGGCACCGGCTTTGGGAGTGGGTCCATAACAGAGACGTGGAGAGAGCAGAGCCAGGGCTGGGCACACCATGGGAGCCAGCACCTCCAGCAAGTCACCGCCCTTCGATGGAGGTGATGATGGTAAGAGCTTGTCCTGGTCAGCGTCTGGGACTGCGGAGTGCACTGGTGCAGGGGCTGTGAGCACCCGGGCGCCTTGGCTGAGCAACGGGGTGACAAAGTCTGCAGCAGCAGCGTGCGTGGTGTCCATGGACTCGGGCAGAGCCGTGGTCCAGTGTCGCATCCTTTCACCTCCCCTCTCCATAGCTGGGCGCTGGAGATTGATGCTGGCAGAGGTTTGGGTCTCAGGCGTCTCCGGATGCTGCCAGGCAGATGAAGGCAGGGAGGGAAGCACAGGGGCACTGGTGTGAGGTGTGGGGTGACAGCTCCGTCGATGTGTGTCCCCACCCCTGCTTTGGGCTCAGTGGCGGGGCCACCACAGGACCTGGCCAGCAGCAGTGGAGGTTCGTGAGCTGCAGACACTGGGGTCCGGCACACGGCGCTGGTGCTGGACGAGGCGCTGCTGGGGCAGTGCTGGGCCAGTGGCACCGCGCTGCCAAGGGTGTGGAGATGGACATTAGGAGATTGTGCCATAAATACATTTCCTGCTGCATGAGTCAGCTTGGTGACTGCCATATGGGCTTTCACCTGGGTACGGTGCTAAAATGCATATGTAGATAAAAACAAATGCACAGATATAAAAGTAACCTCGTTAACTCATAAACTGCTGCCCCAAAGGCAAGAACTCCAGTCGGGGAGGATGTAACCGCGATTACTGGGGATGTAAGAGGAAAAAGAGGGAACGTTGGCCAAAACCCGGTCATTATCACTCAGCTCCTTGAGGACTTCCCCCTCCTGCGCCCCCGTTCTTCAGCCATTGGCTCCGCTCTGCTGCAGCTCAGCCGTTCGTGGTTGGAGCGTGAGGTGTGGACCCGTCATCCCGCCTCTTGTATATTTTTCCAAATTGCTGTTGCTGTAATTTGTCTGTTTTCTGTGGCACCGTAATTTATTTTTCTCCAAGAAGCTCTCCTCAGAGGAGCTCTGTTTGCCTTCGGCTGAAGTGCAACAGCGTTATTTTTCTCTCTGCGTTTCCCCTGAGCAGGCACGGTTGTGGATAATCAGCAAGTGAGATGAAAGGAAAGCGGAAAAAACAGGCAGAAGGCTGAGTGCTGTGGGGTGATCTCCCCTCCCGATGCAGTCGGGATGAGAGCGGGCTAAAAGCTGGGTTTTGTTAGTGCTGGGTGTGGGAGGCATCCGGGGGTGGCAGGCAGACACGGTCCCCAGCTGGCCAAATTTGTGGAAGGATGAGCAGCAGTGGGCAGGGGGTGAGGAGAGCACTGGGCGAGATGGATGGACATCACGCCACGGTCCTTTGCCAGTGCCCTCTCCAGCCCATTCAGTCGTTAATTACCCCAGCATCGGCCGTGTCCTTGTGCCTGGATCTGTGCTGAGCCCCTCCAGGCACTGACCCCCACGAGGGAGGGAGCATCCGGGGGCTTTGGCAGGGCTGCCCTCTCTGGTGAGGACGCTTTTCATGGCTAGTTAGCTTCTGTATTTCTTATCTAAATATTGTTCCTTGAGCGCAGATCTAGAAATGCAACCCCTGCTTTCAAAGTGGTGTTCCAGCCTTATGCTTCAGTTGGTTCTTTATAGCAATTGTATTATCTTCCTTGGCATCGCTCGAACATCGTTTGTCTGAGCTGGCATTATCGCATGAATTTTCTCTCTGAAGGGCAAATGCTTTGGCTCTTTCACTGCTGTAGATGCCATCAGGCAGTGAAATGAGGCTTGTCAGATCTAGAGACATGGATTCGGGATGCATAGCATGTGTTTGGGTCTTGATTCGGACACCACAAATTTCAGCATTCTTTGGGAGTGAGACTCTGGATTGGCTCCCTGTGAAATCAGGGGTGGTAGGAAAGCAGAGAGGTTAAAATGTGACTGTACCTGGTCTGGGAGCCTTAAATGAGAAGTGTGCAATTCAGCTTTCTTATGAGCAGCTCAGTACAGACCCGTGTCTAAAATGTTAATGACAAGAGGTAGGAGGTGTTTACGTGTTCCTGAAAGCTTTCCTGTTAAAAGGCAATAGGGGCAGAGGGTGTCAACGTGCCAAGTCTGGCTCTGCAGCTGTTCCAGATGTCAACACCTGGCTGCACCCCATGGTCCGTGCCCTCCCCATGGCCCCATGTGGGTCCCAGCAGGACCCGAGGTCCCCTGTCCCCCAGCCATGAGCTGCATTGCAGCTGCCCCTGCCCCATCTGTCCCCATGGGCAGTGACCATCCTCACCCTTCATCCTGCAGGCACCCACTGCCCTCCTCTGCGATGATCTGAGTGGTGAACAGCCCTTGTTAAACTCCTTCGTTAACAACTTGTGATACCTGCGGCTGTTCCAGGTTTAAAAAGCAGCTTCTGTGCCCCAAAGTTGCTCTTTTCTCCGAGTGCTATAACTGGAAAGCACAGACTTTGCTTTGGTTAGATTGTGGCATCTTACCTGAAAAGATAACGGCAATGAGAAGGACAATTTTTAACCTTAGTGTGCCTGTTTTAAAGGAGAAACAGCAGCGGGGAAGCAAGAGGGGCATGAGGCAAAGGAACTGCGGTTTCAAGCCCATCACATTGGTGGTATCACTCTGTTCCAGGGGTGGCACTAATTAAAGCTGAGGAGGAGTTATAAACCTGTCAAAGGCCTTTCCTGATGCCTTGAATGAGCATCTCAGTTTCAGCAGG